ACAGCCCTCCCAAAACATCCTCCAGATGACACACTTGAGCTTTTCCCTGCCATTCTCTATGTCCCACCAGGCTGTCAGCGGGGCTTCTACGCCAGGCCACCTACACCACCACGCGCCTGGGCATCTACAGCGTCCTGCTGGAGCGTTTTGGGGGTGCCGATGGGACCCCCCCTCCGTTCCTGGCCAAGGCGGCCATGGGCATGACAGCAGGAGCTGCTGGAGCCTTCGTGGGGACACCAGCTGAGGTGGCTCTCATCCGCATGACAGCTGATGGCAGGTGAGCCYCCAAACCTCCTTCAAACACCTATCATCCCACCCCACTCCCCAATCCTGCTTTCTTTACCAAAATCACTTCATTTTGCCCCAAATCTCAGGCTGCCCCCSGGCGAGCGCCGCGGGTACCGGAACGTGTTCGACGCGCTCGTGAGGATGGCGAGGGAGGAGGGGGTGTTCACGCTCTGGAGGGTACGTGGCACCTGTGGAACCCCRAGATGTTCCTTTTGCCTCCCTGGGAGTGTCCCAAACTGCTGTGTCCCACCCCAGCGCTGTGTCCCCGCTGTGGGGAGGGATGGGTGGGGGTCTGGGGGTGCACAGGACTCATCTAAACCCCCCCRTTTTCCCCCAGGGCTGTATCCCCACCATGGCCCGTGCCGTGGTGGTCAACGCTGCCCAGCTCGCCTCGTACTCGCAATCCAAACAATTCCTGCTCGACTCTGGTGAGTTTGGGGTGGGTTTGCTGCGTGGAAATCCCAAATCCTGGAAGTGCTCGTTCCCTTTTGATGTTTTGGGATGCCCCTAGGACATTTCCACGATGACATCCTGTGCCACTTCTGTGCCAGCATGATCAGCGGCCTTGTGACCACGGCTGCCTCCATGCCCGTCGACATCGTCAAGACCCGGTGGGTTCATTTTGGGCCACAGATGTGATTATCCAACTCAGGTCATCACCCCAAAACCTCCCATTTCACCCTTAAATTTCCCCCAACAGGATCCAGAACATGCGGACAATCGACGGGAAACCCGAGTACCGCAACGGTCTGGTGAGTGAGCGGCTTTGGGAGGGCAACACCCTCAATTTACAGAGGTGCTCTGTCGTTTT